CCAACAGGTAATTGCATGCGGCGGGCCCTTGGATTCGAAATTCCCCATGTGACTAAATCAGTTGCGTATGGTGATGGATAAACAAATGATCACAGCGGTCAAATAACCCACAAAAATATTCTTTTCATGTTATATTTTACATAAAGCATTTTGTGACAAATGTTGGTTATTTTTTACTCTGGTAGCACAACCCTTCAAGGTTCGCGTCCCGTCCGGTTAGTCTTTTACCGGAACCGCTCACCTAAAGTCACAACCGGACTAGGGTCCTCTAAATGTCTGAGTGGATACTTCAGTCAACTCCAAACGGTCACCGGTTCTGACTAGGTTGTCACCACTTCAGGGCTACTGTTTTAAGCCATATCATACGGAATAGTGTTAGTCTCGTAGGTCGGACAGACAGACGGAGAGACAGACAGACAGACAGACAGACAGACAGACAGACAGACAGACAGACAGACAGACAGACGGCAGACAGAAAGACAGACAAACCTTCAGGCGTAGTACGCAACGTGCAACGTAATCTTTCCAAAGTAACCTGCAGTCACAGGCAGAGTTACCACAGAATTTACTCGAAGAATCTCATAAAATGTGAGGCAAAATACATTGAGAGACAACACCTGTTCCAACTGAGACAGATGGCATTTTTCTGGAGCGGATTTTGAGACTGATAAATAGGAAATACTGTTTATTTTGCTGTTTGCAGTTCCATGTTTTGAATGTTTCCTTAAACATGGCATTGCTCTGTACCATACTTTGAACCGGGAACAAATTTTAATGGTCCCAAGAAGCTTTTGAGTCTTTGTGTATGTGTTTATTAATTGATAATGTGGAACTTGTCAAAGAAGATGTACGAACATGTGAACAGACTGATTTACGCACTCGTACTGAGCACTGAGATGAACAACCGGTTATGTCTGGTTGCATGTGCGTAACTACTGCGTAGAGATACGAACATACAGACGGTGTTTTGTTTTACGCGTAACATCTGGATTGGTGAGGTGGGTGGTTGGGGGGCGGGGCTGGGCTGGGCGGATCCTCTGCCAACGTATCCTATTTCAGCTTAGCACCTTCAATGATTTGGGAGTGGGTTGAGGGTTTTAGGCCCCTTATATCGTGTTTATCAATTTAATTGAAGTAGGTAATCGTACACCTTGGTACGTAGGCAAATACGAAACCTCTATCATTGGTTTTACTCAGCGGAAAAATGCCAGTAAATGGCTTCAGTTACCACAGTCATACTCTAAGTGGTAGTACCTGGTGCGGAAGACAATTGTTTACAGAAACTGACTGAATATTTTTCTGAACTTTGCAAGAATTAACAACAGTCTCCAGTATTCCAAAGCACTTTCATCAGGTAGCACAGGATTATTGTGTGCTTTCGAAGAAGTGACTTGAATTGTTTCAAACAAATCCGTCTAACTGAGGACACTTCTCTGCATACATTTAGAAAAAACAATCTTTTCAATGGTTTCTAGGATCAATGTTGAATAGCATATCGGTTACAAACAGTTTGCTTTGCTTTCTCAGTCGACGATTTGAAATTTCTGGCGATATTTTCAATGCGGTTTTGTTTTCCTGAGTAGGATTCGAAAAATTAGTGAACAACTATCCTAAGTGTATCACTTGTATCCAGGGTAAAAAAGACTCAGTTACTGTTTGACAGTGTATATAGAAAATTAAAACAGTTTTACCCCGTGAAATTCAACTCTACTGAATCTGACCAGTTGAGATGTGACGAAATTTCCAAGTTTTTCAGCTTTGGTGAAATGTGAAATTAAAAAAAAACAGTACTCAATCTACTTATGTTTTGCTTACACTTGTGACTCAACTCGTACGAGTATAACATTCGTCCCGAGACAAAATCGTAACTTTTTCTCTCGTCCTTGAAATTTCACAGCATTTCCGTTTCTGGTTCATCCAGAAAAGTTTTAGATTTCGCTTAAAAACACTTCAGCAGGAAAAATGTGAAAATAATCAATAGACAAAAAAAAACGGTTTGACTTTCTGGTTTGAAATTCATAAGTGAAGTCCCTTCATGCATGACGTGTAATGGCGATGCTACTTTAACCACGTTTTGATATTACAACAGGGTCATTCCAGGCGCTTCACCAAATAAGGTGCATTTCATACAAGGTAATCAAACAATGGAGCTGATCAAGACCTACTGCCTCGATTCGGAAGAACAAAAGGAAAGCTAACTTGTGCAACCTACAGTGCAATGTATGCACAGGTTGGTACGTTCGGTCTCCATTTCTAGGAGTCTCATTGAGAACGAATGAGGCAAAGAAAGAAATTGAGTCCACGCTATTCATCGACTTGCAAGTTTTCGGAACCCCGTAGATTACACGCCCAAAAGATTTATCAATGTTTCTAAAACAAACTGTTCGTTGTACTATGCTTTCATCAAATATAAAGGGGGAAACAGGGCTGTTTCACTGCGGCATGGTTTCACATTTCGGTCAGGTTCTCCCTTCCAGTAATAATAATAATAATATAACTATCATTAATAATAATAATAGAATATTAGATACCAGTGAGTGATAAACAATATTGGGAAGATAATGAAAAAGATGAACGCTTTTTAATTATGGGGTATTGAACCCCCACATTATTGTACATGATCACAGGGTAGCAAACAGAAGTCCTGATTTACAAAATCATCTGGGGTGAGAAAGAGGCGTTGCAGAGTTGTATTCAGTTGATTAAATCGATTACGTAACACAATCATTCAGTCATTGTCTGCTTGTCTGAACGACCGTTGCTCATGTCATGCCGTCGGACCACGATATCGTCGAGATATGAAAAAATCATTGCATTCAATTGCACAGTTAGCGATATTGGATCCGACGGACTTGTACCCCGGGGCTGCACCTCAGTTGTTTGGACCAATTCAAGGGGGTTGCTCAGATGATCTGCAACCATCTTTTAACATTTGCCCTATGTTAGGCGTGAATTAATTGCTCGTGAATTGACAAGCGCATACGGACGTGGTTGACATTTAAGTCGCTGAGCACTGGTCGGATAAGATGAGTAAAATGCAATTGATTCGGTAGCATAAAGGTAGGATTTTATTTCTGTTGATGGTCTGTTTCTGAAGAGTTTTCATGCTCAGAAAAGCAAACCGTGACGGAATGATTGTGCACCGTACTCAGTTAAATCAAACAATTAGAATTATTTAATATCAAACTATTTTGTGATACACGACTGTTATTGTTGATTTCATGTGTGCAGGCTCGAGAATCAATGATCGAAAAAAGGTTTGCTTCAATGGTCTTTTCGACGAACAAAGGAGGATTCTTCAAAGTTGAAAATTTTTATTAATACTGTCATCGAAGATAAATTCCTTTGAAGGTCATCACAGCAACTGGAGGCGTCTGATTCACTAACGATATTTTCGCCAAAAAGTACTGCTTTTTCCACAACCGGACTAGCAATAACCTTTTCTAATGAAAACGTCAAGTGAATGTTTAAGCGTGTACGGGTTGAAACCATTCAGAGTTCGGGAACCATGGGAAAGTGAATCTATAGAAAGATATTCAGATATGATGCGGCTGATGGGATTAAAATCAACTAGATCGTTTCAGCTGTTACATTGTGAACAGTACAAATTGCACACAGTTTAGGAAGAAATTTTCAAAATAATTAATAATTTTCTTGGTTTGCCAGCTCTACTGTCTTTCGGCTCAATACCACGCTTAACCTATCGGGACCTTAGGTGATTTCACATTTATGCAGTTTCTCCATGAGTCAGGTATAAGGCTAAATTAATTCATTTACCGCCCAGTAGTTCTGATTGGAATGTAATCGTAATCAGTGATTAGAGTGCGGCATGTATTAGATTAAACTGGCAAACACTGCTTTAAAGTCAAGTTGGTTGCATCCTTGCAAATTCAACTGCCTACAATCCTCAAAAATGAGGCATTGCAAATAGAAGACTAAATACATGAAAGTACAATATTTATACCAAACCTATGAAACGTTTTTATAAATAAATTCTAATTACATTTCTCACTGAGGCTTCGTTATTTCACAACTAATGCACTACTAGTGGTCACAAAATTGAGAATTATTAGCACTCAAATAATAGAATCAGTAACATGAATGGTTATTAGTACAAATACGTCGCCTTCAATTTGCAAAATACTAATCCCTTAAATGAGTAAGACTCGGAACACCAAGTGTCAGAGGAGCAAGCACGATGAAAGTTAGTGTATTGCACTAGTTCCATTATCACCTGAATTGGTTTTTAAGATAACATAAGGAATTAAATGGACTATGAGGGTCATAGCGTAGTCAGGAGGAGGGAGACCTAACGCAAGGCTTAGTAGTGTGAAGGGAAAGACAGCCTCGAATAGGTTAACAGATTGCTAAAGCCCAATTTGTTTCGCTTTTTGAGGTTGAAAAGGATTGTTGTAAGAGATTTCAGCTTTTTAATATTGATAGATATTTGTGCATTAGGCAACAAAATAACTTAATATGCAATTCACTAACTGACAAATATTTTTCGTTCTGAATGAAATCGTTTTGGTATTATCAGTGAGAACAAGGTCATTATCACTACTGCGATCAATCAATATTTAAAACGTAAGTACTTAAGGTAGTCAATTCATTAGGAATTACTTCCAGCAGTGTTTTATCGTTGTGAAATGCCTCGGGGGTTGCGGATCCACTTTTCCGGTGTAGACAATCTTATTCAGCAAACTAGTAATAGTGGACTTGAGACTTTTTTTATGCATTCAAAACCGGCTATGGTGTGGCAGTAACTGTGTGAACATTATACAGTAATTTGAAGTCATTTTGATAAGGGATCTCTCTTGTTATCAATAACAGCCTCATACCGTGAAGTCGACATCGTTTTTCCCTAGAGCGCAGTAAAACAAATCAACTCATTTTTTTCGTTAAAATATACCTAGGTGTATTACAACCTCACAGTTGTCAAAAACAAAAATTGCCGGTGGCTTATTCCACATTCATTCTGGCTTTCAGTTACCAGTACTTACGTGTTCCATCAAATCTAGTGGCAATGGTGTCCAAAAATGTGTTCTGTGGAGCCACCAATCCCTTTCGTTGAGGCATTGCAATATAATAATAATAATAATAATAATATCCTTTGGTGAATCACAAAATGTCATCCAGGGTAACCTTGGGAAGGTTTTAGTTTTCTCACACACTTTACCAATTCTGTCACATGAGTACTCTGTGG